AATCCAGGCAATCCCGTACAAAGTTGACAGGTGATGGCACGCGCCGAAATTGCGCGTCCTCCGTACAGATGAATATATTAGGGGAAACCGTACCTACTCGACAACCGTTATCCTACAGCGTTCATCTTTTTTTGTTTGTTCCTGTCTTATTTGTTAAAAATAAAACTGTTTTTCTAACCTATACGCTATTTATATAAGAACTACTCGTAGTATATTAGTTATATTAATTAATTTTTAAAAATAAAAATTAACATTTATATAAGTAAGGCAAAAAAAAAAACTCTTCTTACATTCTTAGGCTTACCCAAAATAATATTTAAGTTACAAAATTAATAATAAAAAAGATAAATCTTTTAATTTTATTGATGATGTAAACAAATTTTTTTCATTTATGAGTGTTCAAATTTTTAAAATGATATTAAATATAAAATACTGTTTGATCCATTTGTAAAAAGAATTTATTTACATTTTCTTTATTTTATTTTTAGTTTATAAATTTAAATATTATTTTAAAATAAATTTAAAATTAAAAAAAAAATTTACCTGGAAGTAAATAATCAACTTTAATAATCCATACCGACATTATTAGCAAAGAGGAATGCTAGCTACACTCGCCTTTCTCCAGCACTCTCCAACACTCTCTCATTTAAAATGTCCACGTAACAAAATTTGGCTCGCAATTCAAAGTTTCCCAGTGGAAAAGTTCACGTGGCTATTTTAGATGAGGGAGTGTTGGAGAGTGCTGGAGAAAGGCGAGTGCAGCTAGCATTCCTCATTAGGAAAATAATTTACGTGTATTAATTACATCTTTAATTCATGTCTGCATCGCGCAGAAATACCCAACGTGGAAATAATGACATTTTTCTGTCACCTTCCATCCTCACCCTTGTTACATATACTTTCCAAGTTCTTCAGCCGACTCTCTCTCTCTCTCTCTCTCTCTCTCTAAAAATTCGACCTTTTTCATCAACCTCACAAAACCCTAGATTTTTCTTCTGCATTTAACAGAAATTTGATTATGGATATGTATATTGATAGAGCTGTATGCATAATATTTATGGTGCTTCTTTCAAGTTCTGGTTTTGGTTTAGCCGGTGACATAGTCCACGAAGATGACGTTGCTCCTAAGAGGCCTGGTTGTGACAATAAATTTGTTCTGGTAATAGGAAAACCCTGAACTTGGTTTTATTTTTTCCATCCCTTTTCTTATTTTCTGGGTTTTTTTTTTAATATATTTTTTCTTTCCTTTTTTGCTTTTCTGAAAGATGGTGAATGGAAGTTGGGATTTTGATTTTGTGTTTGTACTCTGTGATGGGTTGAAATATAAAATGAATTTGAGCTGAGTAGTTCAGGGTGTTTGTGTGTGAGGATTATCTGCTTCTGTTTGATTCCTGAGAAAACGGGGGCAGAAGAGAGCTTAGAGAAAGGAAAAGTTTGATTTCAGAGCTTAATGTGATTTGGGTACTGGTGTAGGCAAAGCAAGAGTTATTCGTGCAAAATCTATCCTTATGTTTGAATTTTTATTTTCCTTTCTTTAAAGATCTAATCTGCTGTGAAAACTTGTTAGGATAAGTGGAAGAAGGAAAAAGGAAATATGGTTTTTGAGCTCGTAGTTGATGTTTTATGTGGATTACCGGCAAATTAAGGCCAAATTCTATGATATAGGTTGCCCTTTTTTAAGTTTTCATTTTTTTTTCGTTCCCATTTGATTGCTACTTAATTGGGGAAGTGCAAATGTGTGACGTTTTTGTTTTGATGGTTTCGCTTATTAGTGCCACAAAGGAAAAACGTTGATCCAAACTGAGTAACTTTTGAGCTTGGCTTCCTTATAAAGCCATGTTGGTGAATAATATTGGGTATTTTCTTAGCAGCCAAAGGAAATCTGGCCTTTTTATGAAAACCTAAAAGAGTTGTTGCTCAGATTGTGAAGTACTTACATATTGTCTTACAGTCTTAGTCTTGAAAGAAATTATACCTCGAGCAAGGTTTATAATTAGGTCAATTTTCTTCACACCTTTGTTTTTCTTGATATACTAATTAAAAATTTTGGGGTTATATTCTTCTCACTTTCTGTGGAGATTGTCTATTTTCTTACCTAAATTGTGTGCTACTTATATTAAATTGATAAGCTGTTCTGTTTTCTGCCCTTAATTTCACTAGCATCTTTTCCACTTATATTATGCGTATGATTTTATCCTCCAAAAGTTTAATGGTTATAATTATATGAATGTGTTAACTTTCTACATTCTTTTTAAAGGTAAAAGTCCCAATCTGGGTCAATGGTGTTCAAAGCAATGAGTATGTTGGTGTCGGTGGTCGTTTTGGACTTAATTTGGAATCAAAGGAAAAACATGCCAACCATACCAGGCTTGCATTGGCAGATCCTCCTGATTGTTGTAGGACCCCAAAGAATAAGGTTTTCAAGTTATTATCTTATGAGAGTTTATTCCTCAAATATGTCTCAATATCTGACTTCCGAGGAAGCTTGTGTTATTTATTTGATTGCTATAGTGTGAGTTTGTCTGATTTTTATAACCAAGTGCTTGTCTTCTTGTAGCTTAAAGGGGAGGTCATTCTGGTGTACCGAGGTAACTGCAGTTTCACAACCAAGGCAAATGCTGCTGAAGAGGCTAATGCTTCTGCTATCCTCATAATAAATAACGAGACAGGTATCTGCACACAGTTTTTCTTGATGTTTGTTCCAAACAGTTTGCCCATCCCATCTTGATGTTATGGTGCAGTTGATGGGCTGTTGTTGACATAGTGTTGAGTGCCAAATATGAATTTATAATATTAAGATAAAGGTCATCTTGTTAATCCATGTTTTTTCTTTCTAATGTGTGGAGTGTTATTTTACAGAACTTTTCAAGATGGTTTGTGAAGCTAATGCTGATCTAGATATAAAAATACCAGCTGTCATGCTCCCTCAAGATGCTGGTGAAAACTTAGAAGGATTTATGGGTAACAGCACTGGTATGACATTTTTCTTCAAAAAACTTCTTTCTCATCAGTATCAAAGTTAGCTATTCTCTCTTTGTTACTTTGAAGTTTGAACAATATCTTTCTTAAATGTGTTTGCTGCTTGGAAAATACTTTATTCGGCTTTGTCTCAAAGAGAATTTTTATTTGTTTGAACTCTTCTTCTGTCGCTAGTTTCTGTTGCACTCTACTCTCCAAAACGTCCAGCAGTTGACATTGCAGAAGTGTTTTTATGGCTAATGGCTGTTGGTACAATCTTGTGTGGTTCTTTTTGGTCTGCATGGACTGCTAGAGAAGCAGCTATTGAGCAGGACAAGCTATTAAAGGTTATTTTCTGTTACTGGGTGAATGTCTCTTATAGGATATATAGCATGAATTTTATTTTATTTTATTTTTTATTTTTTTTTTTAATAATGAATTGCATTCTTGTTTAAAATTGACATGGCTTGAGCTGCGTTCACAGGATGCATCAGAAGAATATCTACTCACGGAAGGTGTAGGAGCAAGTGGTTTTGTTGATATCAACACAACGTCAGCAGTTCTTTTTGTTGTATTTGCTTCATGTTTCTTGGTCATGCTTTACGAATTCATGTCAGCCAAGTTTATTGTGGTTCTGGTGGTTTTGTTTTGTATTGGTGGAGTAGAGGTTTGTCTGACTTTATAAATTTTATGCATAGTCACTGTGATGCAAATGAGGGTGGTTGGGTGAAGGGGAACGCCTGATAAAGGCTGATTGTTTTTATTTCTTCATGCTTACAGGGCCTGCAAACGTGCTTTGTTGCTTTGTTGTCATGGTATGTGTATTCCTCCTCTCTATATCCTTCAGCAAACATGCTTGTTCATCGTTATTGTATGTGCATGGTATTACCATTTGCCTCATAATTTTTCATTCTGCTTTGTCTTTTAAGAGTGATTTATGATAAGGTAAAGGGTACTGGTAAATTTAGCCTTGATGCTTATCAACTTAATATATTGGACAAACATTTTGGAACAATCCAAAATGGAAAGATGAACCAACATTATGAGTATTTATATTGGTTTGGTTTCTTTCAATTAGTCATTTATAAAGAATATGGAACTGGCAACTAACTGACCAAGTAAATACAGTTTCAGACGGTTTCAACGTGCTGGAGAATCGTATGTTAAAGTTCCCTTTTTTGGAGATGTTTCATATCTGACACTGGCTATTTGCCCTTTCTGCATTTCATTTTCTGTTCTTTGGGCAAAGTTTCGTCACATCTCTTTTGCTTGGATAGGTCAAGATATCCTTGTAAGACACATTTCTACAATCTTTCTTTATATCTCCTGGCTGTGCTCTTCCCAAATTTGCAACCTTTTTACTGTTTGGATCAGTCTGTGTGGGCATCTTTATTCAGCAATAATCAAATTTTGCGAAATTTTGAAGTCTAGCTACAGAAGGATTTTGTCAAATCAATGCCAATTTGCTGTTTTCATAAAGATGAATTGGGTTTGAGATTTATAGGTTCAAGTTGACCAGCCAAGAGAATAAATTTATGACTTTTGATGGAAGCCCCACCTATGCACTGCTTAAATTCTATTGTTCATCCTGCTTTGTCTTTTCTATCTTTTATAATCTTCTTACTTTGTATTTTTAAATCGAGTAGACGTTATGAGATGATGATTTTTTTAACTCCCTCCCTCCTTGCCTCCAAACCCCACATATCAGGGTATTGCACTTATAATCACGGTTCTTCAAATTGTTCGTGTGCCTAACCTCAAGGTGACTCCCCAATTATTGCACTTTTATTTTCTTCCAGATGGAGAAGGATGAGAAGCATACATCCCTTGTCATCCTCCTTGTTGCAGTGTTATTTGAGATGAAAAAGAATAAACTCAAAGTGTGTTTTTTAATGGGTTCAGGTGGGAACAGTTCTCCTTGGTTGCGCTTTCTTGTACGATATCTTTTGGGTGTTTGTTTCTAAATGGTGGTTCCATGAAAGTGTGATGATAGTGGTGAGCACTTCAACATTATCTCTGCTCCATAAACCTGTAAATTAGCTGCAATTTTGTTTTCTAAGACATGCTGCAATGATTATTCATGGATCAGTTTAGGCTTTGTTTGGGAATGCTTCTCAGTTGCTTTAGCTTTTGGTTTTTATGTCATTTTATTATTCTAAGAATATATAAAATGTTAATTAAAATAAATATTAAATATATTTTATCTATTTTTGGATATTAAAAAACCAAAAAAACCTGTAATTACAACTACAATGCAACACTCTGAAACTAAGCCTTAGTCATCATTTTTCTGCCATGTAGGTGGCCCGTGGCGATAAATCTGATGAAGATGGTATACCGATGCTACTGAAAATCCCTAGGATGTTTGATCCTTGGGGTGGCTACAGTGTAATTGGATTTGGTGACATTATCTTACCTGGACTGCTTGTAGCATTTTCACTAAGGTTTGAGATTTGGACTTGTGCATATGTTGCATGGCAACTGGCTACGAGCATTTTTGTCCTGAAATTAGATATTGATCTTCATTTTTGTTGTCTTGGTAACATTTTGGTTATCTCAACGCCTACTCTAAATTATGTTTGGACTTAAAATAGGTTGTGCCAAATAAAAATAAGCTAACTGCTCATTTAATTTATGGATTTGGCATGTAATATTTACAAGATTTGCATGAAAAGTAACTGCATTATTTTCTTCCAAACAGTAAGGATCCTAATGGTTGGACTGCTGTTTTATTTCGGTTGTTCTTGGCAGATATGATTGGCTGGCAAAGAAGAATCTTCGATCTGGATACTTCGTGTGGACAATGGCTGCTTATTGTCTAGGTAACTGTATTGTTAAATCTGCAAAACCACGTAGTTGATTTGAATGTTGAATGCAGAAGCATATACTCTATCTCGCTGGTGAAGTTTTGAACTGTTGGAGGAAGGAATGCTTCTCTTTTGCATCTATTTTTCCTTTCCATCATTTGGCTAGTAATAGTTTATGTTTATCATAAATCATCATCTTAAATATCACATGCAAATCCTTAGCATCTGAGATGATTTAATAATAGCTGAACTAAACCTTAACTAATGCCCTCTTCCAAATAATCTGTACTCCAGGACTTCTTGTCACTTATGTGGCACTGAATATGATGGATGGACATGGCCAACCAGCGCTGCTTTACATTGTCCCGTTCACCCTTGGTAAGTGGCAGTATATTAAGAAAAAGAAAATAGTCACATTAACATAGATAATCTGAACGTAAACCGTTATCTACAACTTGATGTTATCTCACACTAAGCCTCTCTGGGGCTGGACGCAGGTACCTTTCTGACATTGGGAAAGAAGAGAGGCGATCTCCGAGTGTTGTGGACAAGAGGAGAACCGGAGTGGCCTTGCCCACACTTTCGACTTCAGCCTGTACAATAAAATGATAATAATGGTAACAAGAAACAACTTCAACCTGTAAGCCAGTTTTCCATACTAGCGTGGGAGGAACCAACACGATCTCGTCTTGTAAATTGTTCGTTGGCGGAGATTTGTAATGCAAAAAAATTGTTGTGCAGTTTAGATTGCACAACACTTACCATTGGATGAGGGTGAATCCCGTGATATTGAGACTGCCCTCATTAAATGATCCCTATTTTGCAATAGGTTTGCAGTTTAAACTACAAAATAGAGAACTCTTTGTAATATTGATATTGTCCTGTTTGATCAATATATTGATCAGTAACTTAATCATAAATAAAAGTGTCATTAGTATGTATTGTCTACGTAATAAAATAAACATGAAGTGATACATGGGCGAATTGCAGATATCAGATATGGCTCTTGATGGAAGAACTATATCCACCCTGATCATCATAGTACTTGGACCACAGCATAACGCCTACGTATTTAGCAGAACCCTTAATTGCAGGAAAGAATCTTCCAAATGAGATCAGCTGCTGGAATGAACCCACTCTCGGCTGCCTGAGGAGAAGCAGGCAACCCTGGAAAAATAAGAGTTGCTGGAATGCCTGAAGTCTACTGTTTCCATGCATCTTCAAGATTGGTAACATGACCGGAAACGTCCAGGCAAGGGGGATTGTTATAGAACTGAACCCAAACATAGACAAAAAGACCTGTTTTTGGGTGCATTTCCTAGCCAAGCATTAGGAAACGGAGACTGAGGTGCTGTGGTCAGGTGAACCTTCTTCCCTTTCTTGCTATACCTTGAAAGGCACCGGGCGAGTTCATCCGAATGCTGGCTTGTTCCGCCCTCGATATCGAAGTCAATTCCATCAAGAACGGCGGGGTCGAGCGGGCGAGATGATGAATCTCCTCCCAAGAAGTTATTCCGAAGGTAGGTTGCTAGCATTTCCATTCTGACCCCAGTAGATAGCAATTCCTCCTGCATCAGAAATATTTGCTAGCATAAGCCTTACCAATGAGGCAAGTAACAACGGGACTGCCGCCTTTATTAATGCCATTACTGAATCATTCACAGAAGCAAAAACTGAACAGGTTTCCCTCGGTGAAGTATGGTGAAGGGGCATGGGTTTTAATAGTAGGAGAATGATTCAGGTGATGCTGATTAAAACCATTTTTATGTGGTTATCATGACTTGCCTTCACCGTTACTTTGTTTCATGCTGTCTTATTTGAAATTTATAAAAACGAACCTGTTTGTTTGGATGTTGTTCTGCCTGTTGGTTTTTGTTCACTAATTACCCCTTATTTGTCCCCGTGAAGCTTAAATTGTACCGTATAGACTGCATTTTATATGGGCAAAAAATTTGTAAATCAGTTTTCCTCCAGACTACCTCCAAAACACTGGAAGTAAGCTGGATCGGGTAATTAATCAGAGGTCATTCTTTTTATTTTTTTAGCACTACAATCAATTCTTTTATACTCAAAATGAAAATAATCCCCTTCCACCTGGTGTGATGCATGCATGTTTATATACATCCAATGAATTTGAAAATATATGCAAATTATGGAGGCGGCATAACAAGAGGAATAAGCCTTGGGGGTGTTTGGCAGCTCCACGAACTTTTATTGTTGGATTCCCTAACTGCTTCAACACTTAAAAAACTTGAGAATATATCTTCGAGAAAAACAGTCTAACGTTTAAGTCAATAATATTTTATAATATAAAGAGAGAAGTTCTCAAAAAAAATAATTAAAGAGACAAAAATATAGTAAAATCGTTACCTTACATAGAGGTAGAGATGGAAGTATTTATAGCTTTCATTAACAATATAATGTTCCAGGTATAATTATCTGGTCAATCCAAGTGTTGCCAATCACGTTGGTGCCTCTTGGTGAATGTGCCCACACCATGGAGCTTCCTTTGGACCATTCATAACTTGTTAGGTCTATATTGCAAATGGGCTTGTTAACCGGGCTCGCTGTTAAAGTTGGGCCTGTTCCCCAAGAGGGGGGTTTCACTTTTAGAGCAGACCCGCTAAAGCACTTATATATTTAAATAAACACCCGTTTCTTATACATGGTCATGTGCGGAACGGAGTCATCAGACCCATTTTCAGACCTACAGTGTTCTTTTTTTTGGCCACAATGTTACAATGGTAGGTTTTGTAAATTGATATATATTCTCGTTTAATGCTACGTTTTAGTTTTAGCCTTTCATGGTGCTTCTCTCTACACCATTGACGGTGCAGGAGGAACGCCAGATTTAGAAGTTAGGACGCCCATGCGCATTCAACAAATACAGAGACTACTAAAGAGAAGGGCCTAATTTAAAATGGGGCACGATTTAGAAACTTTCATTTAAAAATTATTTCAAACAGGATCAATTGTTAAATAACCCCAACCACAACGTTTGTTTGGGAAGGAAAAGAATATCTTTTGAGCCAACAGACCGTTAGAGGCCCAATTGAAAGCTTTTCTTGGGTTTGACTGTTCAACTAAGCACAATACACATTTTTAGTCAACACTCGAGAGGCCTATTGAGGGCCCAAAACTATTGGCGTGATAAACGCTTAATAATAAACTTTTTGGACCACATGAAATATTTTTTACACCTCACAAAACATTTTAACCTAATAAGCCCAATAAAGGCCCATTCAAAAACATTTTTCCAATGTTTCCATGCACCCACGGCACATAGAAAATACTCACCACCCCGCCTTCACGCATCCAATGCTTGCGGTACTCGAACCCGCAACGTATCTTCCCAGATTATTAATTTAAAAAAACAAAAACAAAACGCAGCTAATGATGAAAAGGCATTGCAAAAACCACTTATGATCATGACTCAAGAACTAATACATGCTCTCTGGTGAGCTGACCAAAATAAAAACACAGAATTAGTGATGATGATGAAAAACCACTTGAATTGCAACCCAAAACACTTCCAAACAGTCGACTGGGCAAACTAGAGGAGCATGTATAGTTTAATATATGGATAGAGATAGTAAAACCCAAAACTACTAAGGTATGGTGGAGAGATAAACACCTCAGCCCCTAAACCTTCTTGGCCTTCAAGGGAATCTTTGGAATCTTACTTAGAACCTTGGCATCAAAAACCGCATATTGCTTTTTCAATTCGATCGCCGCCTTCTCTGCAAATGGGTCAACCTTGTCCTCGTACTTCTCATAGATGACGGGCACGGTATGCAGCAAGACAAAAGCTGATTTGAAGACAGAGACTATCAGAATCTAGCAAATGATCTTAAAGTTCTAACTGTGATAGGTGTGAGAATAAGCATCTAGTGGCATTACCTATGTAAAACAAGGTCAAGAAGTTGCATGAACTACCCACGATTGACAAGATCCACAATCCCGCTATAACCTGTCATCCAAAACATAGAATGTATGCTGAAAATATTTGTAAATCTACGAAACAATGAAAGATTCAAAAGAATACTACGTGCTGCAACATCCACGCCCAGCCATTCAATGGAAGATATAATAAAATGAAACAAGCAAGCACAACATGGAAAAAAGATACTTGAGGCTTCCCTAGAATATATATAGATTTAAAAAACAGTACCAAGAGGAATTTCTTCAAATCTCTTCCAGACGCAATATCATGAAGGACAGAAAAAGCATAATTTATCTCCATCGTCAGGGCAGAAGCAACCTGCAGGAATGGTTCTTCAGGAAAATGAACTTCCGGTATATAGGGTCGAGTCCTGCAAATGAATATTGTTATTAGCATATGAACAGAATTAGAGTAATTCGTTAAAACATAGCAGTCTTACAGAACTCAAACAATTGAATGAATAAACTAAGGCAGATCATATCAATACTACAAAGGTAAAAGTTGCACGGAGAAGCTGTTAAGACCCAAAATCTTACTTCTTGATGAAAGTACGGGAATTGGACCAAAGGAACATCACTGAAATTGCAAGTATCAAAATATGACACACAAGTGTAAGCAGGTGGTATTCAACTAATTCAAAAAGAACCCAGACTGCAGTTACTGCACCAAGCACACCAGCTGAAATCTTCTTGTTCCTCCACAATAACACATCAGCAGCTGCAACAAATCATTACGCCATAATGGAGAGAAAATGAGCGTCAAACTTGACCATAATTAAGGTGGGTTAAATAATTATAAATAAAACAAACGAGGTAAAGATACTAAGCGGATTCATGTGTTAAAAACCAGGTAAAAATACAAATAGTTTTTAAACTGTTTGTAACATTCAAACAGAAATTAATTCAAATTCTCTGATTCATGCCCTGGATTCTCCAAGCTACTAATCAGATCTCAAAGCTAGTCACAAATAAATAATCCAATCCCCTAAAAATACTATTCAAGCAGATCAACCTACATCAAGAAACTTAAGCAAATCATCTTCCTAAGTTTCATTTCCATTGCTTCTTTCCACAAATAGTAAACAAGCCAATCATCAATCAAACCAAAAAAGGAAAAAAATCAAAAATCGTAGTTTCAGAACTAAACCATAGCTAAAGACAGTCAACAACATAATAAAGTAGAAAAGTAAAATAAGAGAAATAAGGTCCTTACGCTTCCCTCCTCCCAGAACCTGGTGCAGCGGTTTCTCCCTGCCTAACAACCGGTAAATCTTGGCTTTCACAGAGGAAGGTGAAGCCGGTTTCTCTCCATCCGAATCGGAATCAGAAGAAGACGACGGCGAAGAATCACGAGGGTGAATCTTCTCACTGTTCTTCTCCATCAACGACTCCAACGTCGAAGTAGGCTTACTCTCCGATTCCTCTGCCATTACTTCCAGAACCACAAAATCCGATCGAAATCGCTAAAGGAACAGATGATCAATGCCCCAAATCTCGACGCTCGGAACCGCAAGGAGATGATGAACTAGCACTGGCTACTGCTACTGAAGTGGAAATAGGGTTCGTAGATGGTGATATATAATGTACCAAAAAAGATGGTGAGACACAAACGATGGCTGAGGTTTGGAACCCGAACCTTGTGGTCCGGAAGGAATTTTGAAATCAAAAGTTGACGACGTTAAACGCTCGATATGATACGTACCCACAAAAAAAGAGAAAAAAACGCTCAATGATATGATAGCCATAGGAGTCCCAATAGGCTATAGCTATGGTGAAAAATTAACCATTATAAACATTGAATAAGTGAAC